CCTCGTCGTGCCCCTACAAGCATCCCACATCAAAGCCTTGTCACAACGGCGCCGACTGCGCTGTCGAGGGCTGCAAGTTTGGACACAGTGCCATCATGTGCAAGTTCAACCCGTGTCTTAACGCACGCTGCTTGTATAAGCATGAGCCTGGTCAGAAGAAGATCACTACAAATAAATGGGTCGCCCCCAAGGAGGGAGAACACGTTAGCGAGAGGAAATTTGTTGACGACGAGCAAAAAGAGGAGTTGATTATTCCGGGCAAGGACGAGGAGATGCAACAGGCACCGGCGAACGAGGGCCTGGACGTGCAGGCATAGAAGGATCCTGAGCTATTTTACTGGGACGTAGGTGGTGGATATGATACCATTGAGATGACGGGCAGGTGATGTTGGGTGGAACGTAGAGCATTGTATTATAGTCTGGATCTGCTGGACGAGGCGTTAGGGTTGGAGGCATGGCCCCAACGAGGAGGAGAGAGAATTACTTGTTTCTGGCGGCCCGCGTTGGCTGCGCTCTTCTTCTTACATATTCGCATCCTCTTACGCGTGACATTTGTGACTTTCTGACATGTCCCCTGGATGTACCCGCTGTTTTGCAACGATTACTCACCAGGCAAAGTGCTGCACGCATTTGCAGTCATGCATCTACCATGTGTACTTGATATAGTAGGACTACGAAATACTGTAATAGCTGCGAAGCCGACTATATGCATGATCACGGATAACACGGTACCACAAGCCTTGGGAGTATAGCGATTCGCGCTCACGGTGGACTATCGAATGAAGACTATTCCGAACAAGGCTTAGCCCGTCCGCCACGTTTGCTCAGCCACCCTCTTTCGTACGCCGCGACATCTGGTGTGTGATCAACTCCGCATTCTACTTGTACTTCTGACCACTTTGTCGCTCCTTCCTTTTACTCCAGTAAACCTTGCCTTCCCTACTTACCCTTCATTCCTTCCTTCTTCACACTTTTCCCGGAGGATCGCCATTCACACCTGGCACAACCCCCCAACAAAGTTCGATCGACAGCTGGAAGAGATTACCCAGCCTTGCCGCCCAGTAAACGACGTAACAGTCTTTTTGCCTTCCGAGGAGTCCATCACACTTACACCACACTCTCTGTAATCCTCACAAACCATCAACATGTCTAAGCCATACGTAAGTCTGCCTCGCATCCGCTAGCGTCTCCTGTCGCAATGCGCGCGACATTCCCATCTCCTATCCAATCCAGTCGCAACCACAACCACGTGCTAACCCTCTCTCAGGACCAAGGCGCACCACCCGCCTATCCCCCACCAGCGCACCAAGATGCTGGCCCAGCCCCCGGCGGCATGCAGCCCTCATACTACAACCAAGGCGGCGCCCAACCCGACTACTACGGCGGCAGCCCGAACCCCTACCAACAAGGCCAGCCTGGCCCCTACGGACCGCCACAGGGCCAGTATGGTCCTCCTCAAGGACAATACGGACCTCCCCAAGGAGGATACAACGGCCAGCAGATGCAGTACCAGCAGGGCCCACCGCCCCCGGGCGGCTACTACCAGGACGACAGGAGGGCTGATGGCGGTGGTGGCGGTCTATTTGCGGGATTGTGCGCTGGTTTGGCGTGCTGCTGTTGCTTGGACTGCTTGTTCTAGACGCGTTGTCGAAACAAGCAAGGCTGGATGGGATGATGGAGATGGGACGCGCAAGAGGCGGCATACCAGATGGAGCAATTTGGCTTTTTGACCGCCGGAGATGCGTATACCATGCGAAGACGGATCGAGAAGACGAGGAATCCGCGTACAAGCTATAGACCGAGGTTTCTTTTGTTCACACTGGGGTCTCTTTGGATATGACTGATTATCGATTTGGAGGCATATCGAGGAGTGCTGCCAGCTATCAACTTACCTAATTCGACGATTTCTTTCTCGGAATTCCGCTCGTACTTGTTCCTGTTTCGAACGCCCATAGTTATGGTTATTGGCTGATTGTACAGGTATTTGCGTTCGAGGACTGTTTGCCAGCACGCCGAGTGCGGCGACTTGAACGAACGTCGTGTTTGCGTGCCACGCAAGTAAAGTCCGAGGTGCCATCATTCACCCCAATGCGCCAATGCGCACTCTTGGAGTCGAGCGAAATGCAATTGATTGCTGCCACGCAAGCACCGATGTACACTCACCTTCGGCCCTTAGTTTCTCAACTACAACCGCACGATTCCCTGGACTTACTCTAGAAAGGCTGTGAAGCATCGCCGCTACGGGTATATAGATAAGTTTCTGACGACAGCTCGGTCACCGACATCGGATCGCCTGACCGGCGCTCACTCACCGTACTGAGGGGGCTAGACGAGGACGTTGGAAGGCGTGGAAGTTGTGAATCAACAAACATCTCTCATCACATCTTTCTTCACATCTTGAGTGCTTCACGGCTGCAGAGTTGAGACATGGCGGACAACAACAACCCCTCAGGGTACACTCCTCCTGCTCCTGATGCCGTTTCCGCTTCCGATATACCATCGCCAGCATCTCCCACCATGGACCTGCCTGGATATGTACCGCCTGTATATGAAGTATGTGGAATTTGACCCGGTTGTTTTCTGCAGATCAGCTAACTAGCTCAGATATCCAAGAAGTGCCAGGAAGAAGCAGAAGGGACCATGTACCCAGACCAGCCGGACAATCCGAACAACGAGCACAAATGGCTGTACTGCGAGAGCCACAGCGGGGACACTCTTGGATATTTTGGATGCGTCTGTGACAAGACACAAGAATTTGGTCGCAACCAGTACTTCTCCGCCGATTGCATATTGAGGGAATTGGTCGGTGACGACAAAAGAAGGCGTGCGTACCGTGCCCCCGCCCCAAATGAGGGAAATGAAAAGTGAGTGAGAAAGCTAACCCATAACTGGCTAGTATTTCTCAAGCAGTACTCTTCAGGCTGTATTGGTAAAACATTGATCGATCTCGATGGAGCCTGGGCTCAGTACAATCCACATATCCCGGTCTCCACTTCTACCACTGCGCAGTCCACCACCACCACGAGCTCTCAACCTAGTACGTCTACTCAACCGAGTACACTGACTCAGGCGACAAGCGCAACCACTTCCCCGGCGTCCTCGAAGACTACCACGACGCGACTCACTACTACAATCACCAATTCCACATCCACCGTTATGCCAACACCGACAGGGCCAGCCGATGGACAGATACCCATTTGTGGAGTATGCGCCATCAAAACCGCTCTCCAGCGCGCTCACTAACATCGGCCAGATTCCACAGAAGTGCATGACGACGAAGCCACAGGGTGAGGCGTTGTGTCTTATGGGCGACCTCGACTGCATCTGCAAGGCCAGCAATTCGCTTGAACATAACACGGAATTCAACCAGCAGTGCGTTCTCGACGCTTGCTACGGTGACATTGGCAGAGAAGGTAAGTCTTATTATATAAAGCATAACATTCCGTCGCTCAACACTAACTTCGCTACAGAGTTTCTCGACAGTCTCTACTACCACTGCAAGAAGGTAGACAAGGAGCTCATCGACATACCGAAACGATGGGAGCCCTACCTTCCAGTCACCTTCCCTACCACAACGCCCGACTCGTCGCCCGACGACTCCAAGAATTCTACGTCTGCTCCTGCCGGCGTCAAGCTAAATCCCCAATCCATCGTGGGCATTGTCATCGGAGTCCTTCTCGTCCTCTGTATGGTTTTCGGATTGCTGTGGCTCTGGTGGAAGAAAAAGAGGGAGGCCAAGAAGCTGCGCGTTGAAAACGCTCAGATGCTAGACGCTATGAACCCTGACGGCTTCAGCAACAGGATCCACACCTTGAGGGGCGACTCATCAATCCGCGACTTCTCAGATCTCCAGGGAACCGGCAGTGCAGGCTCCGACGCCGCAGCATCCAGGCACGGTACCGCATCCACCTACAACGACGCGACACTCGTTGGTTCGCTGCGGAGCACGACTGCCTTCCCCCTCAGCCCTACAACCCCTAAGAGCCCAATTCCTGAGTACGGTACAGCCGACGAAGACTGCGCCATGTCGACGTTCGTTAGGTACCCCGGTCATAAGCCGTACAACGACGGTCAATTCGAGCTACCCAACAACCAGCTTCGCGGCAGTCAAGTCATGCAGGGCCAGCACAATACGCAAGATGACTCAGCGAGTGAGTACAGTGCACGCCGACCTAGCTACGGCGATGACTCTATCGATATACGCCAGGACAGGGAATCGCGGGCACAGTTTGAACGGATGCAGCGGGATGAGTGGGAGAGAAATGGGGATCTCGAGCCTCGCCACAACCGGGGAGGTGCATTTTGAGATTGCATGTTTTGGTTTTATTGTTATCTCTCTGTTCTCACCGGTGAACTGCTTCGGAATATATCCTTGCGACTCGTGTAGCAGTTCCTGCGGGTGCCCGCTGGGTGACGAGCTAGGTTTAGGCTTATCTCCGTTGACTACGTCGTACGGGACTAGGCGGTGCATGCGAACTGGTAGTACAGAACAATCTCAAGTGCGGCTTTTATGTGGCTACCCGTTTGCGAAGTCTCGTCGAGTGTGTGCTTGCGTTTGGGTCGTGTGAGGTGAGGCAGCCGATGTGCTCTGATTGGGCAGCGAAGGAGGTGGGAGGTGAGAGAGCAAACGCCCGCGCTTGCTCTTAACATTGGGCAAGGTCGAATCTGCTCGGCTCTTGATGAACTCTCTCTTCTTCGACTTGATCTAGCCATCAACGCTCACATTCAACATGGTACTTTACGTGCTATTTTTGCTGATCAGCATCGTCGCGGCGCAAGCGCGTAATCAATTCTGCGTGCCTCCGAAGCCACCACTACCGCTTCCTGACTGTACGGTAAGTTGCTTGTACTGGCCATGAAGCTGTTCTGGTAAATTATGTCACTGACACTGGTGCCAGAGGCAATGTCTTATCGGCGAAAACAAATTTCTCGATGGCAATTGCGCCGATAACCTCGCTGGCTTTTGTAGCCTTCCAGACGTTATCCCCATACACTTCAACATGTTTGGTCCGTGCATTCTCGGTGCATGTCCAAGCTTGACAGACCGACAAGGTAAGTCTCTAATGTGCGCGACACCCTTGATCCAGATATACTAATAAGAGACCGCAGACTATGTGAATCTATTCTTCGCAGCATGCGAGGATAAAGATGTCAGATTCATATCTAGCGAGGACTATTTCAACTACAATGATTTGCTCAAGGACACAACATCGAGTAGTACTGCGAAAATTACTGTAACTGTGCTATCATCTACCAGTGATTCACACGCGTCAACAAAATTGGAAGGAGACACACCCATTGATCTAACGGATAGTATCATCAGTGGAGTTCCAATAACATCGGTTGCTACTTCTACAGACACAGGACAGTCGGCAGACGCATCTTCCCAGCCATCACTGTCAGCGACTTCAACGCCACCAAGCTCCACAACAGAAGGAGGGACGACATCAGTTCGGCCGGCGCCGCTCCCGAACGACACTGGTCTTGCACAATCTACGTCGAAGGGACAGGATGGTGTGACTGTCCACTCACACGTCACTGTCACTGCGACCTCGAACGGCGCACCTCAATCTACCGCCACTGCCGCTGCTGGTCCTACACTCAGTACCACCGCTATCGCTGGCACAGCAGCAGGCGGTACCGTAGGTATTGCGCTCATCATCGGCCTCATATTCCTCTTTATGCGTCGTCGCAAACGCCAATCTTCACTCGCGTCACCAGCAGATATATGGGAGCCCTCTCGCAACACCAGCCCGAAGCCTAAGTTACCAAACGTACAAAACGATTCGAGCTTCGGTCGATACTCGGAGATGGGAGCCGGTGTACCCGTGCGTCAGCGCTCGAAAGCCGAACTACACAGCGAGGATATGTCATCACCACGTCCCCAAACTGGCTACTACATGCCACCAGAAATGAGTGGTGCGGGCAATGAGAGCGCGCGATACTATCAATCAGCACAACGACCTGAACCGCATCGTCATGGCAGCAATATGGACTCTCGATACCCTGAGCTGAGTTCACACGCCGTAACAAGTATGCCATCACCCACGTCACCCATCTCTCAAGCTTCGACAATGCAAGGCTGGCATGCAAACTCGCCTTCCGGCGCACCGACGATCAGACTGAGCAGCGCTGATCTTCGCAGCGAGGGAATGAGAAGTCCAGTGAGTGAGCTCGGTACCCATGCACCTCTGCGCTCCACGCGCTCGGCTGAGCTACATGGCGCGGGTACCATGAGTCCAATGAGCGAGCTTGGTACTGATAGCTTTCACGGTGTGGGTCACGGAGCGGCTGAGTTGCACAATGAGCCTCTGCTTCCGCCGCAGATAGATTCGAGGAGCAAGGGAGATGTGCCGGATGGTGTTGTGGAGATCGACGATTCGGATATGCATAGAGGACATCGACCTGGGGTTTCTACGAACTTCTGATCTTACGGCGGTACCTGAAGGTGGATTGGAGGTCGCGAGACACGTAATGTACGATTAATGGTAGTTGACAATGAAGATCTAAATCATACGGCAAGTTTACAGCCACAAAATTTAATCCGCCGTTGGGCTTGAAGTTCGCAATGAATGTTCATTTGAGTTCTCGGAATACTCTCCATTTCAAAAGCATGTATAGACAAGGATACACCCAATGAACATCATGACTGCAGTGCCTGTAAAGGTCCGTCTCACCAGCGCTATGTACGAACATGCATCGCCGTTGCAGTGCCACGTTCGCGTAACATTTTGCGAAGTGACATCCGTCTTATTGGATCGTGAAACAATGTTGTCGCAAGGCAGAATCGTTACAGCTCAGGACAAGAAGGAAGCAATGAAGCCTGACATAGGATCGAGAAACGCCGTTGGATAACTAGCTAACTCTGAAATACATTGAGTGTTGTTCTGCTCAATGAGCTACACTGCCTTTCCACCCTTCTTCACTAGGACTAAGGTCACACCACCTTCTTCCCACGATACCTAAGCCTTCTATAAACCTTCCATGCAGGTTTCCGTTAGTGTAAGTATTGACGGGTCGGCCGTTCAGCTCTATCGGGCATTTTCTCAGCTCGTTGGGAAATTAAGAAGTACTAAGGCCGGCCGGTTTGTGGCTATAGACTGGCACATATGCACAAAGTGGCTTGTTTATAAGGAGAGCCGCATGTTGTTCCGAAAGAACATGGCTCCTCGCGAGAAGTTGTGTAAACAGCGCGTTTCAATAACCGAGCTCAGTATGTTGTGTGCGTTGAGACAGAATATTGAGGAGACCTTTGCCCATGTCGAAACGGAAATCATAAGAGGATACCGTGCGCAGAAGCCTTTGAGTCTGAGGATAAAAGCACGCTGTGGCTCTATGCGTACTGACAGCTCGACCTCAGACACCTTAGAGGTGAACTAGCATCGAAGAAGCTACACGTCAGACTGGTATTAGATCAAAACATTCACAGGTACAAAGTCCATCATCATCAGTCTACAGCCATGACGGCTAACATCAGATATCACAGCCATCTATCCCAAGCAAAAGTCACCATGGCAACTACAACGTTCGCTACCTCTGTTATCGCAGCCTCCACTGCACCAGCAGAAAGCGCCGCTTCCACCAACCCCAACGAGTATGTGTACTTCGGCGTTCACGGCAAAGCCATCATGATCGGCCTCGCAGCCACAGTTGCGCTTCTCTTCTTCATCCTCGTGTGCATGGCATGTTGCTGGCCTAAAGAGAAGAAGAGGAACGATCAAGGAGGCTATGTAACGACGACTTATTGGAATGGGGCTGGGAAGAAGGGGAGGTGCTGTTAGATCGGATGATAATGGTATGGGATTAAGGGTTGAGCGACCGCGCGGGTGGTGGGGAGAGCAACATGTGAATGCGGTGGTAGTCGAGATAAAGTGAGGTGTCAATACTATACACTGCAATACAAATAATACAGCGTGTTGAACTGAAGTGACTACTAAGCGACATCTTGAAGAATTAGGGAGGTTAATGCCCGTCAGCCCATCACCACGCCTCCACCAACACCCCATCGGTTAACAAAGAATTATAGGACGTGTGCAATCAGCACGATCATGGCTACTTGGAAGACTTACTCCTCATCCCTCTTTCTATCTTAACCAACTTTTTCCCGCATCCTGGCTGAACAAGATGGCTGGCAACCTTACATTCAGTGCACCATCTAGGCACCCCAAATGCCACAACAGTCCCCTTACTATCCTTCGCGACACCGTCCACAACGTCCTGCAGCGAGCGGGTTGGGTCGGTCGGCAGCGAATTCTTCAAGACCATCTGTACGGCACTGATGATGGTGTATGCCGCATCGTTACTAGCTGTATGACCATCGCGAAACTCCACGCCAAAGTGTGGGATCAAAGTTTTTAGTGCGATTTGCTGGCCCTTTTTCTGGCCCTTTCCACGAATACCCTGCTCATTCGCAATCTTCTGGGTATCGATAATAGCGACAACGTTGCTGTCGAATTTGGGGTCGATACCAAGTTCTTCTTGTAGCATCCGAAGGTCGTTCTTGACTGAGTGGCCGAGGAATATGACTGGGCATTTAGGACCATCCTCGTTGTCATCATCGACAGGCCACGAGAGTGTTTCGATCAGGAACTCTTTTGCGTCTTCCTTCGTGGCAAAGCGCGTTGAGCCGAAGTGATTTCTTTCGGGGTTTCCTCGGACGAACCTCCAGTTGATAAGGTGTGCGTTCTCGCGTACACGAATGTGATAGTAGTAGATATTCCGCAAGATCATCTCACCATGTATACCGGGACTCCTGAGAACTGGCGCCATCTCTTTCCGCGAAAACGTATTGAGCCCATATTCTGTCAGCACTCGTGGCTCTATCTCGTGCATTTCGCAATCCATGGTGACAACGATGGTATGCGCCGCTAGTGGTGGTGCGCCGGGTATCTCCATACCAAGGCCATACTGCAATATCTGGGTATGGCTTTTGCCCAGGAAGAAGCGTCGGACCTCTTCCATGGGCGTTTCAACAACATGCGAGACGGTAGCTGTGTTGGTGCCATAGAGTTCCTCGAGAGAATCAACTGAGTTGATTGAAGCGCTTGAAGACATGGCAAGCGATTAATATATGTATGCTGATACCAGATATCGGGTTTCTGGTCGGGAAGTTTTGTATCGTGAAGATTGTGATCTCGTTGAAGCGACTATAATCGCTAATGAAGAAGATTTTTAGAGGGGTTAAATAAAGTCGTGTGCCTTCATAGACCCGTGATTATTGTTAACGAGGTGCGATTGAGCACGGTGGCCCCATATGTGGTACCAGGGTTCGCAGCGTCGCTACCTGTAACCTATCTCCAGAGATGCCAGTAGAAGCTCGAATGTTACCACGCCAATGGCGACCGCATCATGAGTAGAGCGTATGATAATGCTGCATTGCCGAATTGTATGTACTAGCTTGGTCAGCCCTGCATACTGGAGGAATAGCATACGCGGGCATGGCGAAATCATGCGTTGTACTGTCTAATACCTCATTGGAGTGCTTACCCTTCTTCGCCGAGTTAGTGTTCTGCATTGGTAAGAGTGAGAAATCGAGTAATGTAACAACATCATCATGCGATCTGAAACTCCGCATAAAGGCGCACTCGTTGCTCTACTCAGACGCACTTGGTCGACCATCGCATGTTGCGATAGTACCAGAAGTAGCATTCAGCGACATTACTTGACTCTGGATGGTGGCTTGATTCCAGGAGAGTTACAATTACCTAGGTCATGACTGGAGCTACAGTCGGACCCTCTTTTCCTACCCAAGTTCAACTAGTTTGCGATGCTAGCGCTTTCAAACAAGTAACTGGAATAGCAGCTTCGTAACGTACTTCTTTGCACATTGAACCCATAGAAGCGGCCGAGTTCATAAAGTTGTTCAGATTTGATGCCACAAGATATCTTGTGGAGGAACCTCGAAATGTACTTGCCAAAATGTGATGTCTCGACCCGAAAGAAGTACTATGCGCTGCATCGCGAAGTCCAACATCGAGCGAACCTTCTCGTACCCTTTGGCCTTCAGCCGTTCAGATGTGAGTGGCTTAGAAGCCCATGAGTATGGCGCATTGCTAGACATATCGAGGTCGCCTTGTATCTCGAGCTGCTCAAGCGTGACACGCCCGAGCCGATGCATGTCTTTCATGGCCACAAATATGTCTCTCCATGCTGCTATGTTCGTACCTGTGACTGTGACATGCGAAAAGCTCACATCTTCCAGTGTCGAGCGATGACGGAGAAGCATCCGAAGCAAATTGCGCCCATGACTACGAGATCGAAAGAGATGTAGCGTCCGAAGACTGGTCCAGGAAGACTGCACAAAGACAGTCCGCAACATCCGGTACTCAAAGTCACAGCTGCGTCCATAGAAGTGCTCGACGGCAGTAGCGTAGATCATCATCTCCGATATCCATGTTAGCAAGGCAGGAACCTTGCTGCCATCGATATCACTCATTGCGCAATCGAAAGTTAAACTTCGTATCCGAGGACCTATGGCTCTCCAGCTTTGATGACCGGTATCGTGAATCTTGCCGTTCGATGGAAGGTTCGCCGCGGTGATTGTCAGGTCAACCGTGAGCTTGTCCAAGTCAACCGTGCTCAGTATCTTCGAGAGATTCTCCAGCATGATGATCTCGGCGTAATACTCCATGAAGAGAAGGCCATCGAGGCTAAACTCTAATAGAGTTTTCGAACCAGATGGGACCAAATCGGTGGTCACTTCGATAGCGTGTGCTCCGACTGCGCGATAGAGTGACATGGTACCCCTACTCCGTAGTATGGGCTTGGCGAATCGTTCTTCGTAATATGCTCCTATAGGACAGGGATTGATCTTGATGCTCTTCAAGTTCGTAAGCTTTCCGATGGCATCTCGAACGTATTTGGCCGCTGTGCTAAAGCGGTCCTGGTGCTCGACCAGTCTCTTCAGCGTGCCTTCGTACTTTTGAAGCCAGTGGGTATAGCCACCTCGGTCATTCCAACGAACCACTAATGCTGATCCTGAACCTCTTCCAGTAAGGCCTTTCCATAGCGGCTCCGGAAGCTTGACCATGGGCCATACAGGTCGGGCAGAATCCATGTATATGTAGCTCTGAGGGTGTGGACATCCCATAGACGGCTCTTCCCACGGCTCTTTGATATATCGAAGGTCCACATCCAGATTCGTGTTTAATATCTCCGGGCCGAACTCCAACTCTTCCACGTATGTGCACAGATGCTCGTTTTCAGATAGGTCTTTCAGAATGGATAGACTCCATGGCATCAGGCTGAACTTGGATGAAGAGAGATGACGCTGTAGGAATGCGTCTTGGGTCTTCGAATGGATGATTCGACTAGTGAGACGGAGACTAGAAAGGCTTATGGGGTCGAGGATGAAGCTCTCTCCGTCTGCGTACGACGACCGTGAGTGGCAAATCTGCGTCCAGATCTCAGGAGGTAAACCTTCAAATGT